AATTTATCATTAGTTGAATGTATTATCAGTATCAGTGAATGCATATGAAAATGAAAAATAAGTTACGAACCACACGATAAGTACAAGAAACCGAAATTCTATAGTCGGCAGCGCTCGTAGCAGAGTAGGTAAGGTACTCGACTCGTACGCAGGAGGACGAAGGTTCAAATCTCTTTATTGGAAAGTGTTTTTTTTAAAGAATTTTAAAAGAAAAAAATTCAAAGTTAAAAAAAAATTATTGTGGGAAAATAAAATTAAAATTCGTTTAAAAATTAATTGCTTGGGGGTGTGAAGGGGAATGGTGGGCAAACGTGTGCAGGAGAGTAGCGCGGCACGGTTGGAAGATATATATGGTGGGGTGAGGGGAAGTGTGTAGGGAACTGATGGTGAGGGCGACGACGTAAGGGGGGAAACTTAGGAGGAAGAGACTTCTGGTAAGCCACTTCCGTTTCATCAAATCTGTCGTTTTTAAAATTCCAGCCCTCCCAGTACGCGACAAAAAGAAATTCGTTCTTAAAATTTTAAAGTAAGAATTCGTATCGTAGCGAATGGTATGCCCATTTCGTTGCAAGGCACCATTAAGGTTGATCTAGAAATAGGTGGTATACCACCTACCGCCATACTCCCGGCTAACGTGTCATAATGCGTAAAAAAAGGCAAGGTAAATAAACAAAATAAACATACGTATACTCTTCATGCTGTACTGACAGTTCTAGAGTATAACTGTGTGTACACGCTCATATACATACACACTCTTGACACCCTCACAGATACTGAAATACATACATAAATAACGACAGAATGGTCCTGGTGCCCTATTAGTTAAGCTTTCACCATAAATTCTTCATTACTAAATTGCGATGAACCAACGTATTAAAAAAGTAATCTTTATGTAGTTTTACATGATAGAACACACTTTTACTAGAGTAGTTAACAATAAAAAAATCGTCTTTTACTAATTATTCTTAGTTTATTCCGATTTATTTCGTACTTTCTATGATGCTGAAATTCATAATTAATGTCAAAAAAAACCAAAAAAAACTTAAGTCGAAATTTTGCGGGATTTTTCTACAGCCACACTTCAAGCTCGGCGGTCCCCCACCACCAAACTGCGGAAACTTCTTTTTGAAAATTAACTTTTTTCATACGTTTTGTGAGTGTACTGGCACAGCATTGCAAAATTTTATAGTGCAACTCTCGATTAATAAAAGCACGTTTAAACAATTGAACTAAGTTGGCCTAACACTTTTTTTGGACACTTTTTGGAAGGACCTGTTTCTTTTTTTCAAGTTTTCTTAAGAAGTACAATATGGATGTTGCTAAAATTTGTATGCATATCGAGGCTTATAAAACACAAATTTGGTCAAAGTTTCAAGTCTTCGTGTGTAACAGAAAATAAGTTATAGAATTTCGAAAAAATGGCCTAATAAAGTGGTTTTTTGCAATTTACTAAAAAACTGTTGGACCAATTGGAGCTTAAAAAAACTCATTCGATTCATATTGTTATAGCGCACTTTTTATGTTATAAAACTTTATTTGTTAAATGCATGGTTTTTTGTTAACTGCAAAAGAGAAAATTTGACTACTTTTTGTCATTTTTCAAAAACATCTTGCTCTATTGGGATCGGTGTTTAAACTTAATATGTTATTCTTGTTATTATTATTTAAAATAAAAAAATCGTTGTCAAAGATCACAATTGCTTGTACCGGTTTTTATAATTTTACCCAACTACTACTATTCAGATCTTCTGATTAGAGCTAGTTTGCTTGTTTTATCTATTATAACTCTGAAGTTAAAGAGCAACTTTGGATGAATTAGTACAACTGTAACTTCTTATTTCTATGCTTCGGTAGTTTCATTAGTTTCAGAACTTACTCATCCTTTTTGATTTTCAGTGTATGATACGGGAAAATAACAGAAATAAGTTTAATGGTATTATTTAAACGTTTCAATTTCGAAAAACTTTTTTTAGTATATTTACATCTGTAATCTAGTAAAAATATGTGTTTACGTTTATATCAACTTAATGTTACTAAGAGTCAATTTGAGCACAAAATTTAATTCATTTGCAGGTGACATATTAATATGATTGACCAATAAAAGTTTGAATGAAATGATGATACGGCCGCATACTAAAAGCCTTTTCTTTCTTATAAATGTAACCTATAATTATTTAAAAATAAATTGTACAGTCTATAATTTTTTTAGCTTATAACGTCTGGGTACTTTTCATTTGGTTATGTATGAATAAGTAAGATTGTCCATTCACACAGTTTACTTAATACACATTATTTTTAGCCTAGTTAATTTCTCAAACTATTCTTGTAAAATATAAATCTAGACTGATCCAAAAAAATATAAACTAATAAAGTGAGTAAGATTTTATACATTGGTTTTTATGTACTTGATGCATGAAAGTTCTTAAAAACTGGTTACAATAATTTTAAATTATTTCTAATGATAATTTTCTTACCATTATCACTAGTATACTCGTCATAATGATCACTATCTTCATCACTCTCTTCGTAACCCTCATCATGACTGAATAGCTCTATATGGCCAAGTCGACTTGGACTGAGAGCTCCTCCTGTACTTAGGCTACTTGTTGATCCAGCTTCACCAAGACCTAAGCTTCCTGTGCTTAATAAGTATTGTCGAGGTTCTCTACGCTCCCAAATTTGTTCAAGACCCATTGACTGAGTAGGAGCTGATGTAGATAAACATAAAGTCTTAGATTTGATTGGATACGAACAACCAATTTCTATGTGACTGCTTCGAAAATCGTTTGAAACACCATCATCTTTTTTAAAAACCTCATTACATATAGACTGATCAACAGGTTTCAAAACTGAGTCTGTAACAAACAAAACTTCGTGTTAAGATCTTTAAAATAAACATGTTTTGTTCAAAATTATTTATGTCGAAAAATATTAGTTAAGCAAATTAATAGCATCAATGGCTTAGTGGTTAGCGTTCTAGCCACCTAGTCATAAACACTCGAAGGGTTGTGGATTTTAAGTCCATCGAAAAATATCAAATTTTTTTTTTGTCTTTTTCAATGAGCTTGATACCCAAGATGCTAAACAACAACTCATTCGATTTTTTTAACATATATAAAGTGGATTTTTGTAGCAATATCAAGACCTCCCAAGACTTACTGTTTGAGGGAAGCCAGAACCTGGGCAGCTCATTAGTAAAATCACTATCGGTTTTTCAAAAAGGTCGGTACAGCGAGTTAGACATTTTATTGGGAGAGATATTTTCATTAATCTTCATAAAGACGCCGTAAGCGTAAAAAAGGTAAGCTTATACACTCCGAAGAAATAAAGGGCAGCTTATCATCTCTATCGAAGACAAGTTTTGCTCATATACTCCAGTAAAAAAATGCCAACTGCCGCACTCAAGCCAAAAAAATTATATCTTGCTGCCTTCCAGCAAAAAAAGCCAACTCACCTCACTGAAGTGAAAACGATGGCAACTCGCTGCGCTCCAGCGAAAAAAGTATGACTCAATACATTCCGACAATGACTAGCGTATACTTCAAGTAGCAAATGAAAATAAAAAATTGTTTAAATAATTGAGTATTGTTATTGTAACACATGATTTATTTGCAATCGCAAAAAAAAGAAAATTTTTATAAATTATTACTAAAATGCTTTAAAATGAGAGTAAACCAGGGCTATTATTCAGCCCAAAGGACCATAGAATTTTTCCTAGTTGGCTGCCACTTGTAGTTATGTGAAAACACGATTTTTTCTACCATCGAAGCTATCTATTTTTGTCATTAAATAAATGATTTTTTTTTTAAGTAGTTAACAGTTAAAGTTGGCCCAAATGCTGCTTAAAAATTCATAAATTTTTTTTTTTAACAGAAATTTTACGTAAATTTTTATCTTAAAATAAGCCAAATTATCTTTCAAAATATTGTTTGAATCAAAATTTTTAAACTATTCCATGAGTAAAAGCAATTGTAACTCAAACAAATAATACCCCTTCAAAATAATTATAATCAGGCTACTCGTATTTCACGCCAAAAGATACATTGGAAAAACCTTGGTTTATCCATGGATTACGATATACTACGAATCATCCATGTCTTTATGCATACATATCAGTAGTCGACTAACTTTTTAAACATTGAAAACTTTAATTGCAAGGGCTTAATCAATAAAGTACATTTCGATTCATAAGTTAATTTTTTGAGTTTTATAAATAATCCATTAGGTCAAAGGTCAACAGTACTAAAACAGCATTTAACATCAGTACAAAATACTTGATTTTTAAAGGTTCAAAATTAATTTTTGTTCTAAAATAATTTTTCGTTATGATTAAGCAACTTAAACTTTATTTTGTCAGTGTGGCTAAATATTTTTTATTCATTGGAGCGCAGCAAGTTGGCTTTTTTTTTGCTTGATGGGATGAGAGCGAAAAACAAATTTCTTACGACAGTCTTCAAAAAATTTTGATGTGTTTGTTTTTATTATGTCAAAAAATAAATTCTTAATTGAAACAAAGCTTGAATTGAAAGTTTAGACAAAATGCTGTTTGTACAACTATATACGGAAGACGAGAAATTAATTATTTATACTTGCGTAAGCTCAAGATAACATTGAGGTTCCAAGTGAACCGACTCACTATCCCAGCTCTTCAGACCAATACCCGGACATCTTAGACATATTCTTGACGAAAAACTTGACCATCCCTACGAAACTACGAACCTCCCCAGACCTTCCTTGTAACCATAACCCAGTCTACTTAGTGATTCCTAAGTCTCTCCCCACCATACCCGTTACCACCAGCCGCATAGACTGGGTCCACCACGCGTATAACCTCAAATCCTCTCCACTTGAATGTTGTCCCATCAGATCCCAAACGAAACTTAGCATATCAGTTGACGAATTTAGAGACGAACTTGATAGGTGCACACAAGACGCCACCACAACAACTACAGCTCCACAACACATACTTAAACTCCCCCACGACCTTATGCGTCTCATTAAACTTGAGAGTGCCGGAAAACAGATATATTGGCACATGAAAGAAAATTCCTCAATTTTTAGTTTTTGATGAAACTATTTGTTTTTGATTTTTCTACATATTTAATATAATTTAATGCAAATTTACCACTTTCTACCCTTTTTAACCCACCCTCTTTACCCCCATAACTTTCTAATTTAAAATTTTTCAAAATATTACTATAGTTTATTTAAGTAAAGCTGTAATTAAAATCTAAACTTGAGGTCTTATACCTCAAAGTTGGGCGGCTAAGACTTCCAATTTTGAGGTTTGCACAGTTTAATTCTATCTCAGCTGTATACGTACAAACATTGACTGCAGGCTCGCCAATGCAACGAGAAAGACTACTCTTTATTATACATAATATATTCATGTAAATAAAGAATGAAAAACGAAATTTGTTTCCGGTAGTCCATCACGCATGCAGGATATATACACACGCGCGCGCACGCGTTAAATACAGGTATGTATATAATATAGAGTAGTTTCTCTCGTTGCATTGGCAAGCCTGCAGTCAATGCTCGTACGTATACAGCTCAGATAGAATTAAACTGTGCAAACCTCGAAATTGGGAGTCTCAGCCACCCAACTTTAAGGTGTGAGACCTCGAGCTCGGAGCTTTGCGTGTTCAACAATCTCTGAAATCAAAGGCCTCCAATCTCGTTGCCTCCAATATCCAAGTCTAACGTGCAGAAGTTCAAATTCTTTTTAACTGCTGGGCTTCTTAATTTGACTACATGCCCATCATATTTGGAAGTCCCAACGTTCAATATTTTTGGAAGTACGATAGTTCAAGATATTTGAGGTCCTAGCTTTCAAAATTTTTCTCCGCGTGGAATAGAGTTGGAGAAGATTAAATTTGGTAATATTGTATGTGTGTGTAGATGTTTGAATCCACTGTGTATTGTGTATTTGGAAGCCTACTTGTAATTAGTGTAAGTGTTGTATAGGATTAAGGCCGTAGAGAATACGGCCCTTAATCAGAAAGCATCTAACAATATTACGCTTACCACAATTTCCACTGATTACAACGGCACAAAAAAAAAGTGGACTGTACTTTTGACCAGACCCACTTATCTTTATGTATTTTGACGCGCTTAATCCGGATCCGAGGTCCGTTTGACCCGTACACCCTCAAAATTTCAAGTAAATTGCGAAAAACTGCGAAAAATAGCCGAAAATCGTAAAAAATTACACTTTCAGCTCTTCAAACATTCAAAAAAAATTTCGTACACATGTGACGAGGTTGATTCATACGTATTTTGATGCGTTGATCATATTTTTAGCTCTTGAAACATTCGAAAACATTTTTGTAAACATGTGTCGAGGTTTATTCTTATATATTTTGACGTGCTGAATCCGAATTCGACGTCCGCTAGACCCGTACACCCTTAAAATTTCAATAAATTTGCCAAAAACAGCAGAAAAACTGCAAAAAGTAGCAGAAAATCACAGTAAATCGTAAAAAATCGAATTTCTATGCTCTAGATGAGTATAAAAAAAAATTTCATGCAGATTTTGTCCAATTCTCATGTTTCATTTTTTACTGAGTTGAGGTTAGAGATTCTTTTAGCTTCAAAACTTTCAAAATTCCGAGGTAATCGTATAAACAGAAGGAAATTGCGTTTGTGAGCGTTAAAAATCTAAAACAGTTTTTTTCAAATCTTTTCGAAATATGTTCTTCCTGTACGTAGAAAAATGATGTGAAAAAACGGCCAATATAAGGAGTAGCAAGTGTCGAGTATGAATATCATGGATATAAAATAAAGCAAAATAGGATTACACATGTCAATCATGTTTTCGTTTATATTGCTCTCACACTTTCTTCCTCTTGTAGCGAACTTTTTTCTCTTCGAACGACCTATGAAGCGGGTTTCTCTTTCTCTTATTCCTCTCTTGAGTTGTTTCTTTCTTTAATGTCCAACAGAAATCAGCCATCATGTTGATATCCCATCTTCCTTGATATCGATTTTCCATTTCACTTATATCTTGATGGAATCTTTCTCCTTGCTCTTCGCTGTAATCTCCAAGGTTCTCTGGGAAATAGTCAAGGTGAGAGTGTAACAAATGTAATTTGAGACCCATCAAACAACCCAATTGTTTGAAATTGTCTAACAACTCTTCAACTATATTCTGGTAATTTTCACTCTTTTCATTCCCTAAAAAGTTCTGAGATATGCTCTTAAAACTTTGCCATGCTGCTTTTTCTATATTATTCATCTTTGTAATAAAATTGTCATCATGAAATAGAGCACGAATTTGAGGACCATCGAAAATACTCTCCTTCAATTTTGCATCACTTATCGCGGGAAACTTCTCACCTAAATATTGAAAGCAATCACCATCTTTGTTCAGAGCTTTGACGAATTGCTTCATGAGACGCAGCTTGATATGAAGAGGTGGTAGCAAAAATTTGGAAGGTTCAAACAATGGTTCACGTTCGATGTTCCTCGATCCTGGATGAAATTCAGTTCTCTTTGGCCAGTTTTTTTGAATATAATGATTTTTCCTGTCTCTGCTATCCCATAAATATAAGAAGAAGGGATTTTTTGTGAATCCGGATTGTTGACCTAGTATTAGAGTTGAAACTTTGAGATCACCGCAAACTTTCCATTGATGTTTCGCGTAGTCTATTTTCTCCAACACTGTCTATCTGTAAATTCTCATAGGTCTCTTTTAGTTTCGTGGAATGAGCTATTGAAATAGATGCGTACGAATTTCCGTTGTGAAGCAGAACTGCTTTGAGACTTCGTTTTGATAAACCAATAAAAAGTCTCCACTCTTTGTCCACTCTTTGTCCACTCCTTGTAAATATTTGGTTTCAACTCATCAACTAAT